TACATCTAGAAGAATGGGTGCCAGATCATGACATGGGTGTAGGAACAGGATTATTATATCAGATAGAGTGAAAAGACATTAAAATTTTACCTAGCTTTTTATTACAGGGAAAATGTGTTGATCTAGGTCAGACTATTTACGCTGTTTTCTAAGAATAAGGTTTTGTTTTCCCTTAAATTATTTTCTTTGTTAAGGTCTTTGCATAAAAAGGAAGTTTCAGTATTCAGGCATATATTTCACAAGAAGATAATGAAAAAACAGATCCCAGATACTCTGAAAACATACACAGAGATCTGCAGAGCTCAGACTTCCCATAATATAGGACAGCTTTTCAAGCACTGTATGTCTGTTAGCTCCAGGAATTTTGGGACAAATTATTTTTTTTAACATACACATCATAGATTGTACAGCAGAGTCCACTTTTTATGCACCTTGAAACACAGTTTAATTGCCTGAAAAGAAACTCTCCTCCCCAAAAAATGGGGAACATTTGCATATTATATCAGAAGCCTGATAAACCATGTTATACTCATGCTCTGAATGATATAATTATTACCTTTTTTTCTCCATTAAAACAACATAGCAGATAATATAAATATGTGAAATGACGCAAATACGTTCAGCTCCTCTATCATCAGCCTGAAAGTCCTTTTGGTTTTGCTCCCCATATCTACCTCCATCTGCTGAAAATCATAACTTTCCTTAACTCGTATTACTTCCTTTAATTGGAAGAGCAGGTAAAATCCGTTTGGACCATCAATACCAGTAAGGCTTCACAGGCAGTTGTGACCTGATCAACAAATTTCAATATCCTCCTCCTCCCTCTACCCTCCAAGGTGGCTTTCTTTTTTGCCTCATGCTGTATACAGTCTGTCTAGTCTCGTGTAGATTGAGTTTAAGTTTCATAATGTGTGGAAAAAAAATGGAATGCACAAATCTCATACACTTCTTTGCTACATATGTTCCCTCAAAAATTTAAGATAAGTACCTAAAATACAATAGGGTAGTCCTCCTGTGCAGTAAAAGCCAGAACAAGCAGGATAGCCAGGTTTTGGTGATTTTGAGCTCTGTTAATGCAGCTTGCACACTCATACACCTAAGTACCATAAGTTAACAAAGATTACCAAAAAAAAGTCCAGTTTATACAAGTCATAGGACCAATATGCCCACAGCCTCTAAAATAACAGTCTGATTCTTCTATTACATTATTTTTGTGACAACTCATGTCTAAAGTGTTGATTTTACTGCCCACCTGCTTAATTGAACATAAAAAGAGGGTGTTTAATAATGAAACCAGTCTGTTTTAGCTGAAATGTTGATAGATGCCTAGAGGTTCAAAAGTTGACACAATTTCTATACACATTACAAGATGATAAATAAAATCCTAGTCTTTAAAGTCTTTATTTAAATATCTGGATGTAATGCCCTCAAACTTCAGAAATACATGGTCCTACCTTTAAGGTTTAGCCAAAGAATTAAAAGATTGAGTCCTCAAATCAAGGAATTATGCCATGCTCCTCTCAAATGCATTCTTATATCAAATACTAAAATAAAGCAACACATTCATTTCTAAATAACTTGCAACAATTTAGCCTACGTCACCCAGAAGACTGCAATAGTTACATCAATAGGTTTGTTGTTAAATTAAAAATAAATAAAATAAGAGGTTTATTTCACCTTCACATGGTGTCTTTCTCATGCAGACCTCAGATTTCCACATTTGTATCCCTTTAAAGGATTTGATATGCAGGGAAAGAAGAAAGGATGATGGTAAAAATTTCAATTTAGAGGTTACTAAGGGCTGCCATATATGAAACTATATAACATTTACTCCATACCTTTTACAGATGTATTAGGTGGAGGTCCTTCCATCCTCAAGTTCCATGGAGGATCACCTTGATTAGCAAAGTCCCTCATTTTCAGATAGCTAATTGTAAGTCGGATGATGGATGCCTTGTCAAGCTGGCTGGTAATGGCTGCAGGCAGTGGCAACAACTTTGCCAACTCATAGAATTCGAAATTCTCCTTTCCCCGGCGAGAGCGAGCAGCATCTCGGGACTTTTCCTTCCTCAAAGCTTGTAAACTGGAAGAAAATAAACAAAGTAGAACATTCATCAATACTAGTGTTCTGTCACATTGAACCAATTTGCTCTTTTACTGCTGGTCTTTTATATAAATTACCATATTTTCACAATACTGTTGTGTATGTTTGTACAGATTTCAGGATGTATTTAATGATACTCCAGTCCTTGAATGATTAAAAAATAATTATAGTATTTGAGTTTCACTGGTAGCCAACATATTAAGCAACTACTCCTAACTCATTTCAGCCACACTCTTAGTAGTACCCTTCCTTTTTCTGCTCCCAGTCACAAGAAAAGACTCCTGAGAATGCTGTGTACATGTGTGGTTTATCTGCATAAGTCTCATTGCTTCTCCTGACCGACTGTAACCCAGTTTCATCTAAAATTGTGCTGAATTCTGACCCTTGTGAAAAGGAGGCTAAAAGCAGACGACTGAAGTGTGTGCCACCTCTGACAAGGACGGCAGTGCGGCCAAGATGACCAAGCAGGTTGTACAGTAGCTTCTGAGCCACAGAAGTTTAAGTCTGGTGAAATAACGTAAACCTTCCTGGATTTCATGAAGCTGCTCTTTAGAAGTTGTTCAGCTGCCCTTGCTGTAGGAACAGCAACCTTTGTCAGAGGGTGAGCAAGCAGCTAATGCAGTTATGTCCTTCACATTTCTGATTGTAATTCATTACCACATACATGTCAGACTGACAACTTTTTGGCCAGAAAGGACCTTCTACTTTACACTGAGCAGGGGGAAATGGGAAGACATTAATTTAGTCCTGTTTAACAATGTATCACTTGCTACCACACACATGCAACACCTAAAGGTAGTCAGATTTTACTCCTGGGCTATTTATTTAATTGGTGTAAAACTACTGAATGCACACTGTGATGACAGCAGGCAACCACTACAGTCTTCTCCTGATCTTTCCCTGAAAATTAAAGGAAACTCAAGTTTCAGTTGCTTTGAATATATAATAATACAGCTTTGCAAGGGAAAAGGGATTAACTTTGTTTGATGCACAGTTTGAGGCAAACAAGAAACATATAGTACACGTCCCAAAAGATTAGGAGTCAATGTGTAGATAATATAGAGAAAAATATTGCCTCTTGTGTTTTTAATGAGATTTTTAATACTTTTTTCCTTTGAGATGGAACTGAGTGTTCAACTCAGGGTATGATAAGCTTAACCATAGCTCTGACTTGCTGCATAGAGGTTAGTGCCAATGAGGGTTGGTGTCTGCCAATCATTGCCTAAGCTGAGTGGTGGCACACAAGCCCTCACAAAGATTCTATCTTTCCTTTACTTCATTTGTTTATTTAGTAACTGACAAAGTTACAGCCACAATGTCATAAACTAGTCATTGGTTTTCAACAGAGCTAGAAGCTTCCACAACGCTTACTGAAACCCTGGATTTTATAAACAAAAAAACCCAAAATGGCCAGATCTACAAAAGCACTCTGACATATTAAGAATCCTAGTGGAATTGTTAATACCATGAATCTGAGACCTCTATTTACCTATCTTTCTAATTTGAAAATAATTTAAACTACAGAGGTTCTCTTAATAATCTTAAGCACCTGCACTTTCATGGCTTTCTGCCATCTCTACCTTGAAAGGGCGTATCAGCTGGGCCCTTAAAACACAAATGAAAACCCTCCA